TCGGGCCTGGATCTAAAGTTCCACCTGATCTTCTGTGCAGTGGGGCTACAGGTGCACACTGGCTGAAATTTGTCACCTAGGTGGGGCTGCACTTCAACAGTGAAGATATGTAAAGGTCTTCGTGATAGAAGCACAAGAAAAAATGCTAGGTATCAACCATCATTTGTTTTTTTAAGAAACCAAAAATGTGAAAAAAATGTACTGGCAAAGCTTTGAATTCATTGTTGAGTGTTGCTTTTTAGAAGAGGAGCCATCCAAAGCAGTCTGGTATGTATGTAAACACCTTTCCCACAGACTGTACACAGCTGGTGGGAATAATTGAATCATTCTTCCTTTGGGCCTAAAGAGTTTAGAAGCAAGGTATAGTCTGTGTTCTTGGGTTGCTTTATGTGAAATATGCATCCAAATAATTGTCCCAAACACCTGCTGCCAAGTTAATTTATCATCCTCTACATACAGTATTAAGCTTTCCTATCACTCTTGGTGACTAAGATGTCTGTGTTTTAAAAAATGCCTCTTTGTGCTTTTTTAGAACAATAAGCTTTTCATTCAGGAGTTTAGCAAACAATGGGGCTAATATTTCAGTCAGGTTTAATGTCTTAATTGTGCACAAGATAATTTACCAACTTAATTGATGTATAGCTAAACAAAATAGCTTGGAAAAGCCATATCTTGTTTATAATGTCTTCAGTATCGGTGGTTTCATCTAAGTTTGTATCCACAATAGATTTCTATGTGTCTACCTGTCTGTCAGTCAGTTTACATCTGCCTGTATATCTTTTTTGTGGTATGGAATTAACCTCTACATATTCCGTTGATGCTCACGGTGATGACACTCCCTCTCTTATCTTATTTGATGCTTTGTATTTTTTGTGTTTTATTGTAGTTTTGTATTCTGCTGCATTTTTGTAGTTTATTTTATTAATGGAAGATGAGCAAACACTATAGAGGAAATTTGAAAAACCAAAATTGAAACCAAAATTCAAGACTGAAAACTCACCAGATAGATTACATTTAATGTAGTCAAGTGCTGAGTTTTACAAGTTGGTAGCAAGCACGAGCTATAGATATGAAATGAGAAGCACTGAGCTCGAAGAAGCTACTTATGAAAAAGACTTAAAAGCTTATGTTGGAATGTCATTTTTGGATTCTAGACAATGTGAGGAAGCAGTTAAAGTGCATATGCTATGTTAGGGTTTTTAGTTAAAAAATGCATTATTTTAAATTTATTTATGAATAATGCAACATATTAGTTTTTTATTTTTGCTGTCATTTTCCATGGCAGGTTCTTCCTTTAGCATAGAGAGCTCTGAAACCCCAGTGGCTACAGGATGAGTCCCCAAGCCAAGCTGCTTGGTGAGCAAAGCTCGCCAGATGTCAGTTACAGAATTCTTGAATAAAACATCCTTTATGAGGTTGGTGACACATTCAGACCATTCTCATCTTTTTGACAAAGCTGCCCCAGCTCGTAACCTTCCAGGGACAGCTCAGCAGAGACAGGTCTTGACACGGGTCTCAGTGACGTCACTGTAATTCCTCTCTACTTTGCAACAGCTGGAAGTTGTGGATGAATCTATATTGCGATAAATAGCTGTAACAATGAGGGCAAGTTATTTTTTTAACTGTAACTAAATAAATCTGTATATTTCCACAACATGACATCGCAGACTTGACACATACTGCTATTTTTAGACCAGGGTAGGCATCCCTGATCCAGGAGTTTTTAATGTTCATTTTTGGTTTTCATTCCATTTCTGGCCTTGATTACTTAATTGACCCATCACAGATTTATCACAGATTTGTCTGTTTCAGCATGTTGTGTTGGGTTAGGGACACTAACAAATGGATTCTTACCTGTCCATCAGGTGAAGTTGCAGGCAGTGCTTACGGTATTTAATCTATCACTCATGGTTTAGCGATCAGTCCTTGTTTAGATGTTAATGCTAATGCTAATTGTAGGCTATTCTTGGATGTGTGCTGTTTCTACGACTTGGGTTTTCTTGACGATTTCCTTGCAAAGCTACAGTCTTGCACTACTTTTTTGATGTTTGTTTTCTCTTTCTGTTGTAAATATTTATTTGTTCCGTGGAGCACCTTAGTAAATAGACACTTATTTTGTACCACAGTTTGGTTTCCAGTGCAGTCTTTATGACGTCTATGACCATCCTTTACAGTAAGGCAGCTTGCTCACAGTTAGGTATTAATAACGCACATTCTCATTACA